CTGAGCCTCCGTGAGGCTCAAAGTGGTTATAGTGACAGCCTTGAGGGAGCTTTCTCTCCCACCGGATTTTGTCTGCTCTACCTCAAGTCATTTCACAGATGGCAAAATCCAGTCCCAGAGGGAAAAGGCCTTACTTGCCTGAGATCTCACAGCAGTTTGGTGGCAAAGCTGGGACTAGAATCCTTTGTCTCTTGTTGTCTCAGGCCACTTCCATCCCTTTCTCCTGGTAGCACCTGAAGCTTAACTTAATTAGAAATATGTATATGTAATTATCCCACAAAACCATTGTAGTTATATTAGTGAAATTCTAAATATACCAGACACATAATCCTGATACTGCAATTAACCAGTTTCTTTTATATTTTCCTTTTGGTATTTTGACATTCTGGGTTTTTTTTCCCCACGATAGTGTAAGCTTTTGTATATGTTGCTACAAAGTCTTCATATTTAACTTAAAAAAAATTAGCTTTTTTTGAAAACTGACACTACCTTTTTACCCAAACTTCTGTCTCTCCCAGGTGGTAGCTTTTTCTCCATTTCTAGCTCATCTCTCAATCATGTCATTTTAAAAATTTAAACATTTCTTTTTTAAAAACTCAAATAGCTCTGAAATATAAACATTCTCTGTAATCTCATCCCACAGAGATTACTCTCATCAACAATTTGCCTTATGTGACTCCAGGTATTTTTCCTTGATTTTCTTTCTGTGGAGATGGCCCCCCTTCCTCTTCATTCTCACCCAGGGTGCCGTCCTGTCCCCTCCCGATACTGGAGCACCGTGAGGGTCGCCCGCCCACCCACCCCATCTCAGGCGCGGCCCACCCATATTCCAGCAGTTTGACCCTGCAGCCTGCATCCCCTTGTCCATTACGCGCCCTCCGGCCTGGTTTTCAGGGCCTTTGCCGATCAGCTGTCCTAATCTTTTATTAAATCCCATCTGGGTCTTTCTGCTACACTTAAGCTTTCTGGTCCCCCTCAATGACAAGGCTCGCTTGACGAACGTCTTTTGCTGCCTTCAGTGAATTATAGATCACAGATTAATTAATTATTTAGCGTTTCCACCGAAGGATCGTTTCGAGACTGGGCTGTATATATTACGGAGGACAATATTTGTGCGTACAGGCAGGCTTGCTTCCGGCGGCTCAGGCTAATTAAATGTGACGGATGCTTTTTGAATGGGGTTAGGCATTCGGTTATAGTTCTGTGGCTCCTCCCGGTGGTTTGTGCCGTGTGAGGCACTCTTAGGGTGCACTCTCGCTAACAGTGGCCGTTGCTGTGGGGCAGTCCAGTGTGCCGAGTGCTCTTCACGCATTTGGAGGAGTCCTGGACAGGCACCAGTCAGGCACCGCCAGGACGGAGCAGCTCAGAGAGCCTCGGCTTCTTGCCCGTAGTTGCGCAAACAGCGAGCGGCCAAACTGGGACGCCATCCGAGGTCTGCCTGCGTCTGCACCGTGTGCCTGAAGTGCCACAACATTTAACCGGTTTCCTTTTTTTCCTATTCTAAAGGAGTATCAGAAGGCCTTTCCTGACATCCCCGTGGGGTATTCTGGGCATGAAACTGGCATAGCGGTATCTGTGGCCGCCGTGGCTCTGGGCGCCAAGGTGCTGGAGCGTCACATAACTTTGGACAAGACCTGGAAGGGCAGTGACCACTCGGCTTCGCTGGAGCCTGCAGAGCTGGCCGAGCTGGTGCGGTCCGTGCGCCTTGTGGAAAGGGCCATGGGCTCCCCGACCAAGCGGCTGCTGCCCTGTGAGATTGCCTGCAACGAGAAGGTGGGTTCTGTACCACCTGCCGGAGGCCAGGCTGAGCCTCGGGGTCTGGGCTTGGGTTAGCAGCGGGAGAAGCATGTCACTTAAGGGAGCGTCAGCAGTTTCTGCGGCCTCCTAGGACCCTGTTGCAGTTTCCCACTTAGCCTCTCAAGCCTTTGGCTCCAGTGCTCTAGACTCCAGGGGCTGTCAGGGGGCGGGGGGAGCCTCGTGAGACACTTGGGTGGTGAAGTCCTACTCCCTTGGGGTAGGTAAGCCTTGAGAAACAGTTAGGCAGAGGGGTTCCGTGAGGCGGTGGGAGAAGGGCCTGTGATACGTCGAGGCATCTGGAAGCAGAGGAGGCCCCGGATGGGCGGGGCACTGGGTTGCCTCTGCAGTTGGAGGGGGATGACGCCAGCCTTCCCCCGGGAGCGGTGGGAGCTGTGCAGCGTTGACCTTCAGACAGACGGGATGGGGAGGCCAAGGAACACTTCCTGCCTTGCTGACCATCTGGACTTCTTGGAAGCTGTGGCCTAGACCTGCCTCGGCCTCTGGTCACAGAGCCAGGCGCCCTGGGGCTGCCGGGAGTGCAGGTACTCCTGATGTGCTGCGACTGTCTCGGTGGAGGAGAGCCCGACACTAGGCCACGGGTGGAGTGTTGTCATCTTTTATTCTAGTAGGGCCTGATTGCTTCCCTCAAATTAAAGACGCCTACGTACCAGGAAATGGAAATCATAGTAAAAAGAAACAAACTGCCTTGCCGAGGAAAAGGGGAGGGAATTGCACCAGAAGAGCAGAAGGAGAGTTGAGCCCTTAATTTGGTTTTGAGGCTCGCGGCTCCCTGGGCAAACAGTAACTACAGCAGGATGATGCGTCATCTGATAACATCCACTGGCAGAGCTTTGGTCCTGGCACGAAATTTTAGAATTGATTCCTTGGCCCTTACGTGGAGGATGTCGAGTGAAATGGATTTGTTCAGCAGCATTTATGGACAAGACCTAGAAAGGCTGTCATACTTCCGGTACCCTTTATTCCCCTCCCCTGCCTGTCCTGTCTCCCCCTTTGTAGGTGACCCCCTTTCCCATCCTCTGAGTAGCAGTATACTCAGTCTTGTGAGTCCTCCATATTCTTACTTTACCGAGCAGGGTGGCCGTGGGCCAGGACTCAGGATCCCGGTTCATGGCAACTTAGACCAAGTTATCTGCCTTCTGTGGACCTCAGTTTCCCGTGTTTAAAATGAGATACTGAGCTGGATGATGACAAAAGTAATTTTCATTTACTGGGAGCACTCTGTGTTCCAGGCAGACTGCATACATTATTATCGCTAATCCTTACAGTTGTCTCACAAGCTGGAGGTACTGTTATTTCCCATTTTACAGAGAAACTCCACCAGGCTTGTACCCACCTAACGGGGATTTGGACCTGGCTCTGTTTGGCCGTATAACCTGTCCCCTTCCTGTGCCATTTATCCGGAGGCCCCTCATTTGAGCCTCTGCGTTCACCCCCATTGGCCAAGGCCCTGTGTGTGAGATACTGTTCTAGGCACTGAGGGGAGAACAGAATCCCTGCTCCCAGGGTACCTGTGAAGACTGGTCAGGGACCTTGGGTATAAAACAACATGAACCAGTTAACTTCTATGAAGCTGGCACTGAATCTTAATTTTATCCACAGCTGGGCAAGTCCGTGGTGGCCAAAGTGAAAATTCCGGAAGGCACTGTTTTAACATTGGACATGCTCACGGTGAAGGTGGGTGAGCCCAAAGGCTACCCTCCTGAAGACATCTTTAGTCTGGTGGGCAAGAAGGTCCTGGTCACTGTCGAAGAAGATGACACCATCATGGAAGAATCGGTAGAAAATCATGGCAAAAAAATCAAGTCTTAAAATAAAGTGCCATTCTCTGAATTGCCTTGCTGGTACTTTTGGGTGAGGTGGGACAGGAGTGGTGGTCTCTAGAAACCTGGCTTTCATCTGCTGCTCCTCCCGAGATACACATTTTTGGGCCAGGCACTGGCAAGCCCATAGGAGGGATACAAAGAGCAAACATGTCAGTCTCTGCTTCGGGCTGGCTGGCCCAGAAGGGGTGTTCAGTTGCTGTGTGGCTACACGGGTGTGTATGTTTGTGTGTGTGTGTGTGAGAGAGAGAGAGAGAGCTGGCTGTACAAGGGCCTCTTCTTTAAGCCTTCATTCATCCTGCCTGTAAAGCCAATCCACATGACCTGAAATGTCCCTTCCCTCTAGACCTCCTGTCTCTTCTCCATTGTCCTTTTTCCTTCCCCGCCCGGGGACTCTGTATCCAGGGAGCTGCATAGTGGTCACTGGGCATCAGAGAAGGGATTGGCCAGGCAGCCTGCAGGCTGAGAGACGCTGAAAGCCTGCACAGCTCTATGAGTGAAGAGAGAGAAAGGACATTCATTCCTCCTTTCCACAAGGTGGAAAATATGCTGTGTGCCAGGCCCTACTTTAGGTACTGGGAGACAGCAGTGAACGGCCCACGTTTCCTCTTCACGGAACTTCCACTCAGATGGGGACAGAGGAACAGCAAACCAGAAGCATAGTAAGTAAATCACAGTAAGTTGGAAGGTGGTATGTGCAATGGGGGGAAACGGCTGTGTAAGGGACACGGGGAGTGTGGGTTTGGTGTATTTGTAGCTGGTGGTGACCTTTAAATGTGGTGGTAATGCTGAAAACAGCCCTTCCCTACTCATAATGAAATTACAAACCCAGCTAACAAGACAGATCCGCAGTGTTTTCCTTTGTGGAAGAGCAGTGTGGGCCTTTCACAGCCAGCCAGTATCAGACACCCCTCTGTCCTTCTGAACCAAGACTGAGATGAATGATTCTTTTCAGATATACTTCCAGATTCCTATTTATAGGAATTCATATTTATCTGACCTTGTTCACTATCGCGCCTTGTTTCAAAGTATATACTTGAATCTTTCTTCAGATGCATAGAATTATTTAGCCTTTTGAAGTTTCTTTACTTGTGAGTGTAGAGCCTCCCTCCCCTGTGGATCCCAAAGCAGTTTTTGCAGAGGCACGGATTTTTTTTTTTTTTTTTTAAGATTTATGTCCGAGCGAGCGGAGTGGGAGGGGCAGAGGGAGAGAGAAAATCTCAAGCAGACACTGTGCTGAGCGCAGAGCCCGATGCGGGGCTCAATCCCGCGACCGTGAGATGATGACCTGAGTAGAAATCAAGAGTCAGATGCTTAGCCAACTCGGCCATCCAGGTGCCCTGAGGCACTGATATTTGTAAGTTTCGGGGTGGGGTGGGGAGGGAATCCTGGGCTGTACTCATGTGTAAAAGAGAATGCGTCAAATTGATGTGCTGAGAATTGAAGTGTGATTGAAAAGGATCACCGGCGTATGACATGGGTGGGTAGTCAGTGTGCCCATAGCCAGTAGCAGCGGGCTACCTCGTGCTGCACTTGGCCGACCTGAGGGTGGAAGGATTGACAGCCCAGCGTACCTTTAGTCCACTGTGGTTGGGAAGCTCAGGTATAGAGGACATCCTTGGCCACCTGCCAGGTGGGAGGTGCACAGACGGGTACCGTTGGAGAGTTCCTGGCCTGTGGGGTGCAGGCACCTCTACGAACTGTACCCCACATGTGTGAATCGCTGCGATGTTTTCTAAAGGTCATGGAGCCATGGATGGGAATCCTGGGATTAGGGATAGGAGAGGAGGCCTGGCCAGGGAAGGCCCCATGGTGGCACTTGAGTTCAGCCTTGTAGGTTGAGAAGTGACAGAGGGAGGAATCTTGGGATTTGAGGCACAGGCTTGGGAGGTGCCAGAGTGTCCAAGGACATGCAGGTGATGGTTTGGCGGGGAGTGGCTCCATGGGGACGAAGGATTTTGAAGGTGGTCAGAAAGGAAGCAAGGGGGGTGCCTGGGTGACATAGTTGGTTAAGCAGCTGACTCGGTTTCGGTTCAGGTCATGATCTTGGGATTGTGAGATTGAGCGCCACGTCAGGCTTTGCGCTCAGTGTGGAGTCTGCTTGAGATCCTCTCTCCCTTTCCCTTTGTCCACCCCCACCTCTGGGCTCGTGCTCTCTCTTTAAAATAAGGAAGTCTTAAAAAAAAAGGGGGGGGGGCGCCTGGGTGGCTCAGTTGGTTAAGCGACTGCCTTCGGCTCAGGTCATGATCCTGGGGTCCTGGGATCGAGTCCTGCATCGGGCTCCCTGCTCGGCAGGGAGTCTGCTTCTCCCTCTGACCCTCTCCCCTCTCATGTGCTCTCTCTCATTCTCTCTCAAATAAATAAATAAATAAAATCTTAAAAAAAAAAGGGGGGGGGGAGGAAGGAAGCAAGGGCCTAAAAGCCTGCAGAGTTTAGACTTTATTCTATTGGTGGTAGGGAACCATGGAAGGCTTCTGGGGATATGCTGGACTCAGATCTGGCCCCCCACTCTCATGCTTACCCCTAACTTCACCTCACATGCAGCTTGGCTTCTTGGGCAGGCTGTCCCCTCTCCATAGTACAGACTCCTGCCCACCAGGACCAGGCTGTGCAGGCCCACCTGTGCGTATCCTCTGCTAGGCTGACCTCACGATCCCCTGCTCCCTGACAAAGTAGAATTGCAGAAACAGAAGAGATCAATAGGCAAGGAAGGGTCCTGGAATCTCTTAAGAACCAGTAAGTGACCACAGATGGCTTCCATGTTGCTAAAGGATGATCACAAAGATGCCAAAAGCTACGCAGTACTGTCTTGGGTAGGAATAGCTAGAAGGTAGTGCCTCTTTGTACGTAGGCAAGCACTCAGTTATAGTCATATGTGGTGAACTCCCCATCACTGGCCCTATTCAACCTGGGACCAGCTGACTGCCACAAGAAATTGTGGAGGGGACGGGAGGTGAGTGAAGTCCTGTCCAGGCCTCAGTGCCGTGTACTTGAAGCAACATGAACTCCCAGTGAAGAACATGGTTACCAGGGATATATTCATATTTATTAAAACAAACCACAGTTTATAAAATTAAGGTCATTTAAAAAATATCTGCAAGCAGTTTGCTGTATTAAGAAATTTCTGTAAGTATAAATCTGAAGGAGAATTAAGTGATTTTTATAGTCACAGACCCCAAGGAAACTCTAGTCCTGTATTGAGACTATCCTGCTACTGCAGGCTGTCTGCTGGGAATGCTGACGGGTCCTCGCATGGTACAGGGCTGTATGGTTTTTAAAGCAAGTTCATAACCACTGGCTCACGTGAGCCTCCCAACACTAGCAGGCAGGGTCATTACCCCCATTTTACAGATGACTCTCCCAGAAGTGAAATGACTAGCCTGAGGTCACATGACTGTGCACCGAAACCACCGTTTTCTGGCCAGCACAGGTCTTGATACAGAGTAGGCATTGGGTCAAAGCCAGTTTTTGTCCTGTATAGTCCAGCTCTGTCTCTGATATGTGAATTCCAAACTCAAGTTCCTCTCCGGGTGCAGGACCTCATCTCAGCCCAAGGAAAGTTACCCGAAGGCAGACTCAGTAGGCCAAAGTGAAGCATCACAGGCCAAACAGGAGCGAGCAGGCACCAGCCAGAGACCAGCCGTGTTCACCTGAACAGTATGGCCTGGCGGACGTGAGCACGACCCCAACCCCACCACTGGCTCTGTGACCTTGAGCAAGTTACTCATTCTGGATCTCCGTTTTGCCCTGTGTAGAATTGGGGTAACTTTCTACCTCCTAAGGATGATGTCAGGATCAAATGAGTTAATAGTTGTAAAGCATTGGAACAGTGCCTGACAAAACAGGTGCTCTTATTACTTGGCCCTGACTGCCATGGGTCTGGAAATACGTCTTTGTTTGCAGGGAGAAACAGAGATGCAGGGTCAGGCGCATCCATCTTCTGTCGGGGAGGCCCTGTCAGAATTCAGCTCTGGGTCATCCCCAGTAGAATTAATTCCCCTCTTTTCAGGATTCCCGGAGCAGTGTGCTTAGACACTATGCTCTCTATCCAGCTAGAGTTTTAAGTGACTTGGTTACAACCAAAGGCACTCTTTAAGGTTCCTTCTGCCTTGATTTCCACTTGTATTACATTGCCCTGTATGAAAGTGGCATTTTTAGGTCAGAAAACTACTAGAAATTGGCGTTTTTATGTACTTCAAATTAATGAATGCCCTGAAACCGTAAGTGGGTTTCAGCTTTGCATCTTCTTCACCCTACCACTGCCCTCTTGCCAACCACCTAAGAAGGTAATTTAACACAGTATGATTTCAAAACCATCTAGGGAATTTGACAAATAATGATGCTAAATCTTCAGAACGGAGGCACAGACCCAGAAAAGAGGCCTTCCCCTTCCTGCTAGAGGAGCTGGCCTGTGAGGTCCTCCTGGTTTGGCCTTTTCTATTTGTCACTTCTTGATGGAGGATGGGGTTCTCTGGGCCGTCCAGACTTTACTCTTAGCTCCTCCTCTTTTAGTTCCAAGACAGTTGGGAAAACTGCCTGTGGTTGCTAAGCAACGGTCGCCCGCTGGTTTCTTCCCAACATCCCTTGAGGAATGAATAAGCAGTAAAATCTCCCACATTGAAAGCTGGGCCTGAAGAGCTGGGACAGGGCAAGTAAAACACTTGCCTTGGGGCTGGGGCATGGCCCAACTTAAAGGAACTTTCTTTTAGGACCTTAGTCTCCCCAAATGTACAGAGAGGTTAGGCTGGGTGATTCATGAGGACTTCTCAGCTCAGCTGTTCTTTGCTTCAATGATAGCCAGCTGCTGGTCACTGGGAGGGAAAGGGACATCCTGACCTTTTCAGGGTGGGGAGGGTATAGGACATAGCTGCCCTTGGAAAGCTTCCAACCTAGCTGGAAAGCAAGGTCCTAGATGTGTGGTTCTCCTAGTGTGGCTTGGGAAGACTTCCTGGGGCAGTTAAGCCAGGGGAAGGCTGAGACAGGCAAAGGCAAAGGTGCCGAAAGCTCTGACTGGAGGGTCTCTGAAAAGAGCAGTAGAAGCTAGATGAGCATAAGGAGTTTGGGGGCAGACTAGAAAAGCCTTGAATGCTAAGGTAAAGTGCCTTTTTTCTCCCTGAGGTCCTTGGGAACCTCTTGGTAGTTCTAAGAGGTTAAATGAGGTTTTAGGCACAGCAATCTGGCTGTACAGAGGAGGATGAGAATGGGAGAGGGTTCAGGCCCCAAGGTGTTAACGATGCTCTTGTGGCTGCTCTGAAAAGTGACATGGACAAGCTGAAGTGGAGTGGAGAGGAGGAGGCAGGTCAAAGGGACATTAGGGGGAAAGGGCTGGATGACTCATTCATTCACACATTTATTGTGCGCCTATTAAGTGCCAGGCATTGCTGACTGCTCTATGAGGGAGAGGCCTGAGGCTGAGGCTGACCTATTCTGACACCGTCAGGGTGCTCAGGTTCTCTTGTAGGTGGCACTTGGAAAAAAAGCAGTGTAGTGGCAGGGCGCTGGTGGTGGTGGAGAGGTCCAGTGAGACCCGGTAGAGGACCTGTGTTTAGGGCATGTTTGAAACTAGCCAGAGAGAGGAGCCTTTTCAAAGCACCCGGCAGGACTAGTGGGGGAGAAGACGGGGGTGCTTGGGAGCTGGCAGTAGCCCAGCCACACTGGGTCTGGTGGGGAGACCTGAGCAGTGGGAGGCCTAGGGCGGTCACTCCGGTCTCGGCCCCTAGGGCAGCCGGGAGATGCTGATGGCCCCTTCCCAGAGGCGCAGGGCCGGGTAGAGCGGCTCCTGGAAAGTGGCCCGGAAGGTGTGCAGGTGGCTCATGCCGCCCGACACGTCGTAGAAGGAGAGGACGCCGGCCTCGTAATCCAAGAAGACCCCGAGACGGTCGGGGTCGTCGCGGGGCCGCAGGCGGCTGCGCTGGCCGTCGTGGAAGGCCCAGTACTCGAGGTCGTAGCGCTTGAGGCACCAGGACTGGCGGTTGCAGCCGAGGCGGGCGGCGGCCGAGGCCCCGCAGCGCCGCAGGGACGCGTAGGCCACGCCCACCCACCAGCCGACGCCCGCCTCCTGCACGTCCACTTCCCAGTAGTGGCGGCCGGCGGCGTAGCAGTCGCGACCCAGCACCTGCCACAGCTTGTCAAAGCGCAGCGCGGGCGTGGGTCCCAGGCGGCCCACGAGGCCGCAGCGCACCGTCAGGCGGTCCGCAGAGAGGCGCAGGCGTGCGTGCATCGTGTCCGGCTCCAGGGTGGGCGTGCGCGCATCTACGGGGGGAGGGGCAATATGGTGGGCGGGGCACACCTGGTGGGCGGGGCCAGCGCGGCGCCCCCGGCACCAGTCGGGGCTCCTGTCCCCGCCCCCCCCTCCTCACAACTTCACCGTAGGAAACGAGACACCCGGAGTCGCCAGTGGATCAGTGAAACGCCACCCTTTAACCCTGATTGGCTCCGAGGAGGTGGGAGGTGGCAGTGGCACATGGGAAGGAGGGACAATTTCACTGAATTTTGTGCCATGGAATTTGTTGCCAATTTCTAAAAAAATTAAGAAATCCTGTCCCTATTCATGCTTGGGTGTATACCCTTCCAGTTTTTATCTTGACACTTTATACTTTTTATTGGTATCATGCCATACACGCTTTTGGGTAATCTGGTTTTTTAAATTTGTTGATGTATTTATGAACATTTTCCCCTAACAAATAATATTCTTTTATCAGAGCGTTTTAATGGTGACCCTAAGATTTTGATGTGTTGGATGTATTATACTTTAACCTGTCCTTCCCTCTTCTCAATATTTAGGCTTTATTTTTTTTATTTTATTCATCTATTTGTCAGAGAGAGAGCACAAGCAGGGGAAGTGGCAGGCAGAGGGAGAAGCAGGCTCCCCGCTGAGCAGAGAAGCCCTAGGTGGGGCTCTACCCCAGGACCCTGGGATCATGACCTGAGCCAAGGGCAAACGCTTAACCAACTGAGCCACCCGGGTGTCCAGTATTTAGGCTTTAAAAAAGCTCTTGAAAACACAAATATAATTACCTCTTTATGCATCTGATTATTGCTTGAGGATACATTCCTAAAAGAGGAAATGCTGGATCAAGATGGGTAATTTTGCTTTTAAGGCCTTTGGTAAATACTGCTAACTTGTATCCCAGAAATGTGGTGCTGACTTAACTCCCAATAATTGTTCTTACTGCATTAAACCACATCTGTAGGCACGAAAACCAAAGTCTAGATGGTAGGGGATGTGGACGTTCTGCTTTAGTCGATACTGTAGAATCGTTTGTGGAGTTTCCTGTAGCAAGGTTTTGCACATCTTTTGTTAAGATTTATTGCTGATTTTTTGAAAATGTCACCGAAAATGTTTTTAAAACTTCATTTTCTAATTGTTTATTGCCAATATATAGAAATGCATTTTGTATACTGGTACTACATCCAACAGTTGTTCTCAATTCACTTAATAATTCTAATTTATCTTTTGATTATATTAGATTTTCTGTAATCATGTCATCTATGAATAAGGATCTCCCCCCCCCCCCATCTCATCCTTATAGCTTTCACTTCTTTTTCTTACCTCAAGGCACTGTACAGGACATCCAGAAATGTGGTTATGGTAGGCATCCTTTTCTCCCACTTCTGGGTAAATACTCAACAGAAAGGCATGCATATGTGCATCAAAAAGACATGCACAGGGATGTTCATAGCAACATCATTCACTACAGGCCAAACCGGAAACAAAACCCAAAATGTCCTTCAATAGTACAATGTGTGCTACATTCATACAATGGAATACTATATACAGCAGTGAAAACAAACTACTTCTACACACAATAATATGGATAAATCTCCCAAATATTATGTTGACAGAAGCAAGACACAAAAAAGTACAATCTGAATGATCTAGTCATATAAAGGCCAAAGACAGGCAAAACTAATCTACAGTGTCAGAAATCGGGAGAGCAGTTACCCTTGGGGGAGTAGTGAATAGGCTGCATGAGGAAGGCTTTTGGGGAGCTGGAAATTTCCATTTCTTGGTCTGAAGGAGGTTATAGACTGTATTCACTTTTAAAAAATGACTGGGGCACCTGAGTGGCTCAGTTGGTTAAGCCTCCAACTCTTGGTTTTGGCTCAGTTCATGATCTCAGGGTCGTGAGATCGAGCCCTGCACTGGGCTCTATGCTTGGCACAGAGTCTGCTGGAGATTCCCTCCCTTTTCCTCTCCCTTCCCCTCTGCTGCTCCCCCTCCCCACCTCTGCTCTCACTCTCTAAAAAGATAAAATCTTTAAAAAAATGATTGAGCAGCACCCCTTTGATTTTGTACTTTTATGTATTTTATATTTCAAAGTTTACTTTAAAAGGCACATGCCCAGTAATTCCACTTTGAAAAATTACTCTTAAAAAATGAGCTAAGGTATATACCATTCACTTATTAATTCAGCAAATATGTACAAGAATGGACATTTATTGCAGCATTGTTTACAGAAATGAAAATGTAAAGCAGCCTAAATGCCCAGCATTATGAGATTGGTTAAATGTGGCCTATTCAATCAATGGAATACCACGCATCCTTTAAAAATAATGATAATATTTAAATCTATTGAAATAAATTGTTCAAGGTATACCGTTAAATAAAAAATTTACAGAATATGTGATCCCACTTTAAAAAATCTGTATACATATATGTTTTTAAAATGTCTGAAAGAATGTATGCCAAAATATTAATAGCATTTTTCTTTGGGGTCGTTTTTTTAATCTATCTTTTTTTTTTTAAATCTAATTTCTAATTTTCTGTAAGAAGCATCCATTACCTGTGTAATTTTTTCAGGGAACAAAGATTTTCACAATGTATCACTAAATGAAAACACAGGTTACAAAACAGCATGTATAGTATGATACCATGTTTGTAAAAAATATATATATTAAATATATCCTTGTATGTATAGAGAAACCAAAGAAAGCTAACAGGGCAAACAATAATAGTAGTTATCTATGGGAAAGTGATTTTCTTTAAAAAATTTTTGTTTTTGTTCCCTAGTTTTTCTACAATGAACATGTATTATTTCTGTATTTAAGATTTTTTATTATTATTACTTTTAGGTAATAATCTCTACACCCAACATGAGGCTCAACTCACGACCCTGAGATCAAGAGTCGCATGCTCTATCAGCTGAGCCAGCCAGGTGCTCCTGATTTCTGTTATTTAAAAACTAGCAATAAAGGTTGAAAAAACCCAAGTTGGGTGTGTTAAGAAAAAAGGGGGTGACCTCCATTTCTGTGACCTCCCCCCCGCTTACCCATGCACCCGGCCCTCTCCACCCTCCCTTTGCTCCCCGCTCCCTGGGGCTTACATTTTAAGAAGAGTGATCGCTCTGGTGAGGGGCTTGTTTTCAAAAGGGAAACTAGCTTGGTGCTCGTGGAGCCCGAGAGCTGGCAGTTCGTGTCTGTAACAGATTGTGAGAAATGAGTGCCTGGTGCTCATGCAAGCACAGCAAATTACAAAACGTACTAAAAATACTACAAAACTGGAGATTCGCATTCTCTCTCCCCCAGAGGCGCATGCAAATTTAAGCAGTAAATGCAAATTCAGGAATTCGAGACAGACAGGAATACTCTAGGACAATACTCGAGGCTAAGGAGAAGTGTAGTTCGGAGGGTGGGAAGTGAATTCAGGCCAGTGTGAGTGAGCCCCGAACCCGGGGACAGGACAGCAGGCTCAAGGAGGACCGGGAGAGTCAACGATGTATTCAACAGTCAAGCATGGGGGCAACTGCCTGGCAGACATACAAATTCCGGGATAAAATGGAAAATGAGAAATTAGGTCATCAGAAAACGTCCTGTCCAGGTCTCATTCCAGTGCGAGGGGTTGAAGGGAAACCCAAGCCATGGTCCCTGTCTTCCACAGCTCCATCAAGTAAAAGAGGTGAGAAGTGGGCTCACCTGAGCTACCCGCCAAGGCACAGAGTGCTCCAGGTCACAGAGGAGAGAGAGGAATCAGGGCAGACATCATGGAGGACGAAGCGCCTCAGCTAGCCCTTGAAGGACAGGGAAGATTTGGACATCCAGAGAAAAGGATGGGAGGCTTTCCCAGCCGGAGGGTCTGGGCGGGAGCACAGGCATTAAGGGCAGGTGGTCGCAGTGGCACCTAAACTGGGGAGCCACGGAAGGTGTCTGCGAGAAGGCAGACCCGAGCAGGACTTTCAGAGCTCTCTGTGGTGGGGAGTGGATGGGGCAGGGTGAGCGTGGAGGCAGAGGTCCCGCTCGGAGGCTCAGGCCTGAAGTGGGGCAGGCCGGCTGGCAGAGGGGCCGGGGGAGGAACTGCTGCAGTGGCGGACGAGCCAGGGCCTGTTTCCTGGGAGTGCCTGGAGTCGAGCAGTAGCGGACTGCGGGGAAGATGCACGTCCCCTCTCAGAGATGCCGTCCCCACGTCCCCGTAAAAAATCCAGCTCCTCCTCCTGGTCACCCTGAATTCTCACCCTGCTGTACTTTTCTCCAGAGCACTTACTGCTGACACACTCAGTTACTGTCTGTCTCGCTCCCAGAGCACGGAGCCCCACGAAGGCAAGACCTTTGTTTTTGCACGCTGCCGTGCCTAACAGTGAAGAGGGGCTCAGTAAACGTTCTGGAGGAATCATTAAGAGCGGAGATGAATGAAGGAAGAAAGGTTTCTGAGCGCCTGCTTTGTGCTAGGCCCTGCAGGGACCTCGGAGCAGGACTCAAAGTGGTTCTTACCCTTTGGGCATTTGCGACAGGCAGGGGGAGGCTCTGGTGTCCAGCTCAGGGACAGCCCCAGGCCAGAGATGCAGCAGGGCGAGAAGGGGGAGAGAAGCAGTGGCCAGCAGAGCCGGCCCCGGGTGGTGTGGAAAGGCTTCCCAGGTGAGCACCGCTGGGCTGGCCCCGCAGGGATGGTGGGACTTGGCCAAACAGAGAGAGAGGAGGAGGGGAGTTGGCTATTCCAGCTGGGAGCCCAGAGCAGGCAAAGATAAGGTGCAGCAGAATCCTGGGAGCAACTTAGGAGTTAGAAGCAGAGCAGGATGGTTGCAAGAGGCAGGACAGGGTCTCAGAAGAGGAAGGAGGTGAAGTCTGCAGGGTGGGTAGGGCCTAGGCCCAGGAGTCCTCCACCGCCCAGCCATGGGCCTTTGTGTGGAAGAGACAGGAGTTAGGTCTTCGCAGTCGCCTCTGAGTTAAAGGGTACTAGGGAATTAAGAACACAAGGATGGTCACGCAGCAGCTTACTCTCCTTCAGGCGAACGTCCAGTGGCGTCCGTAACATGCTCTGCATGGCGTCCACGAGGCCCTTAAAGAAGCTCTTGACGGGCTCGAACGAGAGGGGTTCGGGGTAGCACAGTTCTCCCAGGCTCATCTGCTGCTGCATCTCCTGCTCCGCGGCCCTGTACTCCTGCGAGGGTGTGCGGGGGGTCAAGGTGGCTCTGGGAGCAGCGGATGCTGTCCCAGGCTCCACCACCGCACCCTGGGACAAACCCGGGCCAGCAAGGGTGGCCCCCACCCCGGCCCCGCACCTGGGAGCAGCCCAGGCTGTGCTCCCGGAAACAGCTCTGGGGAGACTGCACTGTTGACTTCTCCCTCCCTCCCTTCCTTCCATGTTCCTGGAGCTCTACTCAAGGCATGAGGGGCAGAGGAAGGAAGGAGGTTGGCTGACTGCACCCGCCCTTAAGTTGCTCACCACCTTGCAAGGGGCCCTGAAACTTTCCAGACACTGCCACAAGGCTCTGCCTGACGTACAGGGGGATGAAAGGAACGACGGGCCAGTTTTCCTGGGGAAAGAGCCCTCTGGGCACGTCCAAAGGAGGGAGCAGGAAAACCACGTTCCAGGAGGGAAGTCAAAGACCCTGGAAATTCAGCTGGAATGCCGACTGAGAGAATGTGCCCCCCACCATGAGGACCTGTCCTGTTTACTGCCTGGACCTCACCCTTTAAATAGCCTTCCTGGGTTAAGTGTGGCTTTGCTAAGTAGCAGCTAGAAAACTCACTCTCCCAGCCTCCTTTGCACCAAGGTGCAGGCATGTGACCAGGCTCCTCCAATCCGAGGCCTGGGTGTGGGAGTGCTGGTGAGGCGGTGACAGCTGCTCGCAGTCTCGGGGGCAGCAGGGAGGTCTCAGTAAATGTTCATAATAGAATAAGGAATGAACTTGAGCACACCTGTTTCTGACCTTTGCCAACTCAGGGAACAGCTCCCTCGCCACCCATATTTCAAGCCAGAAGCTGGGCATCATCTTGGATTCCCCCTACTTCCACTCACCAATCCTGCTGCATCTCAAACTTGCCTGCCTCTCCTCACCCTGATGCCTGTCCGCTGGCCCTGGCCTCTGCAGTCCATCATCCTCCCTGTCACCAAAGTGACCTTCCAAAAGCATTACGCCGACCAGGTCGTTCCCCAATTCAAAACACTCCCCTGGCTCCCAAATCTTTACAGGACAGTCTAAACCCATGGCCAAGGCACATATGGCCCTCCACTAACTAGCCCTGGCTTCCGGATCCAGCTGCATCTCCCAACAACCCCTCCTCCCTTGTACCCCTGCCCTGCCTCCAGCCAGGCTAAACCCTAGCGGTTCTCCAGCCTGCCAGGCCCTCATGTGCACATAATTCCTTTCTGCCTGGGATGTCCTCTCTGCTCTGTCCCTCTGTATATCCCTGGTGAGCTCCTCGTGCTCCCACACCCAGCTCCACGGGCACCTCCCCTTAGAATTCTTTTCTGACCCACACCCGCCATGCAGAACTGGACACTTCGTAGACATACTTTTGCTGGCTCGCTTGGGCTGCATTGTAAATAACTATTTCTGAGCATGTCTCCCCACCCTGAAGCTCTTAATGTCAAACAGGGGCCTGGCACAAGCAACTTGCTCAGTATATATTTGAAGAATACATGAGTGAGCAAATAGAAAGGAGGAATGATGGGGCATCTGCCTTTGGCTCAGGTCATGATCCCAGAGTCCTGGGATCGAGCCCCGCATCCCTCTCTTGCTGTGTCTCTCTCTGTCAGATAAATAAATCTTTTTTTTTTTTTTTTAAGATTTTATTTATTTGTCAGAGAGAGAGAGAGAGCACAAGCAGGGGGAGCGGGAGAGGGAGAAGCAGGCTCTCTGCCGAGCAGGGAGCCCGATGTGGGACTTGATCCCAGGACCCTGGGATCATGACCTGAGCTGAAGGCAGACACTTAACCGACTGAGCCACCCAGGCGTCCCTAAAATCTTTAAAAAAGAAAAAAAAAAAGAAAAAGGGAGGAATGATGAATGATGAACATCAGTAGCTCTGGCACCAGAGAATAAAGAAAAAAGATGATAAAGCCCTGAAACTGAATCTATGATACAAGAAAAACATTCTTCTCCATGGAAGCATCCCTTTGTATTAGATATCCCTACCAAGTACCATTATTTTTAAAGAAACAAACAAATGTACCCCTCTGTGCACCTTGCCCCTCTCAAAGTATAATATCCAATGTGCCTAGGAAAGCACCTCACCCAGAATTGTTACGTGTATTCTTTTGTTAGCTAACAATGAGACACACAGGCTGAGCTAAGGCCACATACACGCACAAGCCTAGAAATATTTGCCGTGGACTGGCTTAACTCGTTTGGTACTGCCTGATTTATTTGTCGGTCTTATTTTCCAGTCAAAGGCTAATCTGTGATTAGACTCAGTGACACCTTTATTTAGTTGTCCCACAAGCCTGTAAAGCATCTTACAAAGGTTATCTAACAGAGCAAAGTTTTCCTCTACGGCGAGAAAACGTAAGCCAAGAGAACACCAGGATAAGAAAGTAAGCTGGAAGCCAGAGTGAGAGGAGGAACAAAGTGTATGCCGCCAAGTCCCTGCCAAGCCATTTGAAACCTATGTAGCTCTGAGGTTGCCAGAAGCCAGGGCAAAGAAGGAAATGGGAGGGTTATGTGAGTAGGAAAGCCATCCCAGTGCACAGGGGGCCGAGCAGGAGGATCAGCACAAGAGGGGAGTTTCTCCCGTGGTTCCTTGGGAACAGGAACACCACTCTCAACAACATGTGTTCACTAATATAGCAATGAATTACAGGGGCTATTTCCTAGATGCTCCCTCAGTATAAGGTAATAGCCTCCAACAGAGCCCAGTGGCCAAAGAGTACCATCCTTCTCTCCCCTTTGAGCAAAGTGTGAGTCACTTTGCTCAAAGTGTGAACTCGGTAGCTGGAAGGACCCCTGCCTTTCCAGGAGGGGGTCTCGAGTAAGAGTGCGCAGGCAGAGGGCCGGGGAGCCGTGCTGGTGGCTCTGGAGTCAGGCCGACCTGGGTTCTGATCACAGCTCTGCAGCCTATTAGCTTTGTGACCTCGGACGAGTCACTTCACCCTCCCTGGGCCTCAACTGCTCATTCATAAAATGGCGTGAGAACATCCACTTTGCAGAGTTTTAGTAAATATGAGAGCATCAAGTGCTTGGAACATAGAGCCCCCCCCCGCCCAAAATGGCGGCTGTTCATTTTATGTCGTTAGTCTAAGATGTATATACTCTTGCTAACAATGCCTATTTCCTTACCACTTGTGTGGGGGCAAGAAAGCCTGCATGCTGACAAGGCAATTCTCAGTGCATAAACCCTGTGTTCAATGCCACAGTAACTGAAATGAAATGCCGGGGGCGGGTGGGGGGGGTGGAGAGCAGGGGTCCGCTGTGAGGGCAGGAGTCCAGCATTACCTGCAGCAGCAATATGGGATCGGGCTCCTGGCTGATACTCCAGACCCTGCTGGAGAGACTGTGCATGCCATCTATTTGCTCTTTGCAAGATTCGATTTGCTCCCTGTACGCCTGGAGGGTTAACTGTGTGTTTTTATCAATGAATTTCTTGGCCAGCGTTTCCTCTTCATCAAGTAGTATTCTGAGTTCAGTGAATTTTCCCGTCAGCCAGGTTTTACTTGACTCTGCATGAGCCTGAAAAGAAACCAGTTGCAGATGATATCACTACCAACGAGGAAATCCGGAATAATCAACATGAAACAAATTATTACAACCTCTAAAAAGTGAGCTCAGGAAGGTGGCCGGGCAAGTGTAAGATCAGCTTGTAAAAATTCCAGCTTTCCCAAGTACCACCTATAACCAACTGGAAAATGCATGGAGAAATACAGTGGGAAAAAAATAGCAAGATACCAAAAAATAAACCTAACAAAAATTGTAATGAACTACATAAAGAAAAGCATAAAACTGCACTAAAAAGACATTAAAAAAAAACAACACCAAACCTCTGAATGTGTAGAAGAAAAGACCATATTCCTGGCTAGAAAGATTCATTATAGTCTACAAAGTCATTGCAATCCCAGTCTTAACATGTGGATTAAACAAATGGTAAATTATGATGGCAGAGAATAAGCACAAGAAAAGCCAAAAACTTCTTTTAAAAAGATCAATGAAGGATGAGCTGCCTTATTAAATATGAAAACAAACCGTAAAGCTACACGATTTAAAACCCTGTGGCTTAGGCTTAGACAACGATCAAGAGCCAAAAGAGTTCAGAAATGAACTGTGTGTGTGTGTGTGTGTGTGTGTGTGTGAGAGAGAGAGAGAGAGAGAGAGAGAGAGAATGGTGGCACTTCAAATTACTGGGAGGAAAAAGTGAACTATTCCATAAATGGTATTGGTACAACATGCAATTAACCATGTATTTGAAAAAATATTTTGTTAGATCCTCATCTTATACCATATATAAAAATAAATGCAAACAGAACCCCACCTTGCCAAAGCAGTAGTCTTGCCAAAAAAATGAGACTCTGTGTCTGGTAACTCTAAATTTACTTTAGAGATCCAATTTAGAGGACGTGCAGAGAACAGAGGAACATGACAGGCATCAACTTGAGAAATACGCCAACCAAATACATTTTGAAAACTTTATCTCACTTCTAATTCAAACAAACAAAACGTGACATTTATAACACAGTTGGGAATGTGACCACTGGTTGGATACTGGATGATATAAGGGAACTGTTGTGAATTTTCATAGGTGTGATGATGATAACATGGCTGTGCATGTTAAAAAAAAAAAAAAAAAGCATCATCTTGTAGAAATAATACCCTAAACTTTTACAGATAAAATGGCATGTCTGGTATTTGCTTCTAAATAAATGGGTATGCTTGAGGTTTTCAACAACAAAAGATAAACAAATTCCACATAGATTAAAGCACTACACATTTAAAGCCATCTATCAGAATGAAATATAAAACAATTTTATTCTAAAAATTTGAGACCTCTGTAAGAGGAACCTAAAACTCAGATAGCTAAAAGGTAGCCATAGTGGGTTTGATCAGATAAAAAATGAAACTCTTCCTAAGAGGGAAGGTTCTGTAGACAACGGTTCCACGACAGGTAACAAACTACACAGGCTTATCATCCATCACATACAGTAAAAAAAAGAAATCATTTGATTTAAAACGGACCAAATGCATGTAAGTGCCAATAGCTGGATGAAGGGGTACGCAGCCTCTCAAACAGTCAAGGAAGTGAGCGATGTACCAGAAAATACCTTCTGGCCATCAGCCTGGAAGATAACAGAGTATCGAGTGATGTGTGGAGTAGGCACTTACCTACCCTGCGGGTCACAGTGTCTCTTGGCACTGCATTTTTAGGGGACAATGTGATGATATCAAAATTTTAAACGCAGCCATCCTTCGATGTAGCAATTCCTCTTGTGAGAATTGATCTCAGAGGAGGAGGAGCAAGATGGCAGAGGAGTAGGAGAGCTAAATTTCATCTGGTCCCAGGAATTCAGCTACATAGGGATCAAATCATCCTGAACACCTATGAACTCAACAGGAGATGGAAGAAGAGACTAGCAGCAACTCTCTGAACAGAAAAGCGACCACTTTCTGGAAGGTAGGACGTGCGGAGAAGTGAATCCGAGGCGATATTCGGGAGGATAGACGGCGGGGGAGGGGGCCTCCGTCAGCTGCTGCTACTGGCAAGTGGTAGAGCCGCGGAGCATGAAATCGGAACTTTTAGAAGTCTGCTCCGCTGAGGGACGTCACTCGGGTGGCTAAGCGGGGGGTGGAACCCTCCGGGACAGTGTGGTCTCAGGACCCTCGGGGTCACAGAAAGACTGGGGGTGCCTGAGTGTGGCAGAGCTCCCAGGTATCGGAGCCGGAAAGCCGGCTGCAGAGGCGGAGCCCAGGCGCGGGCTCTCAGCTCGGGGTGGCCATAAACCGTGATCCGCGGCCCAGTCGGGCCCCTGCTCCTCCAGCAGGGACCCGACAAGCGGCAGATCCGGGGAGACCCACCTTCCTTCCCTGGGAGGATCCGCGCAGGAGTGCACCGCAGGGATCTGCTGGGTTTGGAGACTCCACCCGGGGTCGGGTGCCAGAGATAGAGGCGCGCGGTCACAGGCCGGGGAAGCACGGAGTGCGGCCGGAGACCGGGGAGACGGGAGTGACTGACGGCTTTTCTCTGGGGGCTCACTGAGGAGCGGGGCCCCAAACTCTCAGCATCTCTGGGGCCAGAGATTGGGAGGCCGCCATTTTCACTCTCGGCCTCCAAAGCCGAACGGAAAGCTTGCAGGGAACAAAAGCTCCCAAGAGCAAACCTGAGCAGATTACTTAGCCCTGACCGGGCAAGGGCGGGGCAATTCTGCCTCCGGCAAAGACATTTGGGAACCACGGCAACAGGCCCCTCCCCCAGAAGATCAGCAAGAACAGCCAGCCAAGACCAAATTTACCGATCAATGAGAACGGCAGAACTCCAGGGCTAGGAGAATACAGCACATAGAATCCATGGCTTTTTTACCATGATTCTTTAAGTCTTTCAAAGTTAATTTTTAAAATTTTCTTTATTTTTTCTTTTTCTATTTTTTTAGTTGAATTTTTCTTTCCTTTTTCAACCAACTTTTCTTATTAACTCGTTTTTAAAAATCTTTTTCATTTTTACATATTCCATCCCTTCATCGTATTTACCCTTATTTTTGTATATATATGTTTTTCTTTCTTTAAAATTTTGTGAGGCAGTTTCTTCTAACAGACCAAAATACACCCAAAATCTAGTGTGTGGCTCTGTTCTACTCACCAGCCTGATCATACTCTTTTTCTTTTTTTTTCTTTTCCCCCTGGTTTCGGGTCTCTTCTGATTTGTTTAGTGTATATTTTTCTGGGGTCGTTGTTACCCTTTTAGCATTCTGTTCTCTCATTCATCTGTTCTTCTCTAGACAAAATGACAAAACGGAAAAACTCACCTCAAAAAAAAGAACAAGGGGCAGTACCAGCTGCCAGGGACCTAATCAATACAGACATTAGTAAGATGTCGGAACCAGAGTTAAGAATGACAATTATAAAGATACTACCTGGGCTTGAAAAAAGCATAGAAGATACTAGAGAATTCCTTTCTGGAGAAATAAAATCTAACCAGTCAAAATCAAAAAGGCTATTAATGAGGTGCAATCAAAAATGGAGGCTCTAACTGCTAGGATAAATGAGGCAGAAGAGCATTAGTGATAGAGAAGACCAAAGGATGGAGAATAAAGAAGCTAAGAAAAAGAGAACACAAGGGGAGAATTTGAGAGATAAGTGATACCAAAAGATGAAACTATATTAGAATAATTGAGATCCCAGAAGAAGAAGAAAGAGAGACAGGGGCAGAAGGTATACTGGAGCAAATTATAGCAGAGAACATCCCTAATTTGGGGAAGGAAACAGGCATCAAAATCCAGGAGGCACAAAGAATCCCTCTCAAAATCAATAAAAATAGGTCAACACCCCGATATCTAATAGTAAAACTCACATGTCTCAGAGACAAAGAGAAAATCCTGAAAGCAGCTCGGGGATAAGAGGTCTGTAACCTACAAGGGTAGAAACATTGGACTGGCAACAGACCTATCCACAGAGACCTGGCAGGCCAGAAAGGACTGGCATGATATATTCAGAGCACTAAACGAGAAAAATATGCAGCCAAGAATACTATATCCAGCTAGGCTGTCAATGAAAATAGAAGGAGAGATAAAAAGCTTCCAGGACAAACAAAAACTAAAGGAATTTGCAAACACGAAACCAGCCCTACAAGAAATCTTGAAAGGGGTCCTCTAAGCAAAGAGAGAGCCTAAAAGTAACATAGACCAGAAAGGAACACAGACAATATACAGTAACAGTCATCTTACAGACAATACAATGGCACTAAATTCTTATCTTTCAATAGTTACCCTGAATGTAAATGGGCTAAATGCCCCAATCAAAAGACACAGGGTAGCAGATTGTATAAAAATACAAGACACATCCATATGCTGTCTGCAAGGGACTCATTTTAGACCCAAAGCCACCTCCAGATTGAAAGTGAGGGGGTGGAAAACCATTTACCATGCTAATGGACCTCAAAAGAAAGCTGGGGTGGCAATCCTTATATCAGACAAATTAGATTTTAAACCAAAGACTGTAATAAGAGATGAGGAAGGACACCATATCCTACTTAAAGGGTCTATCCAACAAGAAGATCTAACAATTGTAAATATCTATGCCCCTAACATGGGAGCAGCCAATTATATAAGCCACTTAATACCAAAATCAAAGAAACACATCAACAACAATACAATAATAGTAGGGGACTTTAACACCCCCCTCACTGAAATGGACAGATCATCTAAGCAAAAGATCATCAAGGAAATAAAGGCTTTAAATGACACAGTGGACCAGATGGACTTCACAGATATATTCAGAACATTCTATCCCAAAGCAATAGAATACACATCCTTCTTGAATGCACATGGAACATTCTCCAGAAGAGATCACATCCTGGGTCACAAATCAGGTCTCAACTGGTACCAAAAGATTGGGATCATTCCCTGCATATTTTCAGAACACAATGCATTGAAACTAGAACTCAATGACAAGAGGAAAGTGGGAAAGAGCTCAAATACATGGAGGCTAAAGAGCATCCTACTAAAGAATGAATGGGTCAACCAGGAAAT